GGTGAACGCCCCTTCTTCTTTTGATATGCCACCTGGGAATCGCATTTTCACTACTATTGATTCTCTACTGGCTTACATGTTTCCTTTCATCAAATGAATTTCGCATGTGATCAGAACCAATGGCGGATAGGAAACTTCAGTAGGACACAGAAATAGGTACGCTCCGTCTTACGTGCTGCCTTGCGCTAAATTCCACGGAGTTGAGGCTAGGGTTATAGTTGGAGTTTACGACATGGGAATGATTGACCCCTGGAATTTGGCTCAAGGTCGCCTGAAATAAGGGCAGCTTTTCCTATGTCTGACCGAAACATCCCGCCACTTGTGGTAATTGGTGCGACAGAAAAAGTGACTACCAACCGCGGGCACAGTTTAGATTTCTGATTGCACCTAGGACATGTCAGTGTTCATAGATGTTTTTGGCAGATTTTAAATAATTCATATCGACTAAACTGTGAAAAACTCGGCGCCTCGGTGGGATTTGAACCCACGCAGTACGGGGAAGGTTTTGGTACAGCCAAAGCTCTAATTACTGGAGTTACGAGGCCCCGCCGGACGACGCGAGTTTACTCACATTTGGGTCAAGTTACCCGCCCAACCTACTGCAAAGTCTGAAATCCACCAAATATGATACAGTAAGTTGACTGCCCAGGCAGGATTTCCCAAGTAATTTACCCAGAATTCACCAGATGACTACCAGGCTTACGTAATTCATAATGCTTTCGGCAGACTTTGAATAATTCATATTGACCCACCTCCCACCGATGCACCGAGTTTTTCACAGTTGGGTCAGTATGAATTATTCAAAACTTGCCAAAACATCTATGAATTACGTAAGCCTAGTAGTCATCTGGTGGATTCTAGGTGAATTACTTAGGAAATCCTGCTTGGGCAGTCAACTTACTGTATCATATTTGGTGGATTCCAGGCGTTGCAGTAAGTTGGGCGGGTAACTTGACCCAAATGTGATTAAACTCGCGTCGTCCGGCGGGGCCTCGTAGTTCAGGCGGTTAGAGCGTTGGCTGTACTAAAGCCTTCCCCTTACTGCGTGGGTTCGAATCCCACCGAGTCGCCGAGTTTTTCACAGTTGGGCCAATATGAAGATGTCGGTGTGACACGACAGAGACAAAAGAGGATACTTTATTATCACATTTTTGAGGATGTTACGTTCCAGGAAGTCAGTGGACCTTAAGAGTTTCGTTTTCTCGAGACAGTAGTTCCAGTGTGATCTTGCCCGCTCTGTCAGTCATCAGCCCGGCCGCTTACCCACGCCGCCTTCTGTCCGCCTGGCACATCTGTCAACTGCTCGCGTGCGACTCACCTTTCGACCCGTCTACGCGGATCGATATTTTTCCTTCATTGGTTGGTCGCAGCCGCACAAAGTTTAAGCGCGGGGACACATATCGCGTCGGAACGAACAAGTTAAACGGGTGACGCGGATAGTAATCAGGGTACCTGCCACTGCCTGCTGAGCTTCGTTTATGCCCTCTCATCTCAGTGCACGTTGTCTAATAACTCTGCCTCCTAACTTTTGATTTGAGAATCTTCGAGTTGTCCAACACCGCACCTCAGCGATCATAATTGACCTGCACGGAAGTTGCTCTCGTCAACTGGGGTATTGCAAGCTCCCGAGGGACTCACAGGAGTGCACAGGGTTGTTCTATCCAGCTTATTTTCGCAAGAGTTCGCTGGCTTATTGGAATTTGCCTATCTTCACACGAAAGTGTCTGTTTTACTTCAGTAACACCAATCCGGATAGTTATTCGACGTGGATGCAGTCATTTGCGAACTGGCGTTACCGACAAAGACAAGGGAGACTGGAATATCTATTTCTGGTTTATTAGCCATCGTCAGCCAGCCATACCCAGTCCCGAGGTGTGAAACACCTAGGGCTCGATCCTGCGACCTTTCGGCTTGAAGTCCAACGTTCCTAACCACCGGTACCTATTACGGTTCCACGTCATATGATCACATAAAGTCAGCTATGCATCGTATGAGTGTTTGGATTTTCTTTGCGTTAAAAGGTGTTGACAACGATCGTTTTCATCGAGGCCCTGTTTGGGATACTCGTTTTCTTAAAGTTACAAACGGAAAATTTGGGGTTGAGTAAATTAATGTAATGTTGTAGATAGAACACTTTTGTCTGATGCCAAAAATCCAAAGCTGTACTGTATGCTTTATTGTGCAAATATTTACAGATATGGAGTCGCCCTCCGGAGGAAACAGGCGTTTTCTGAAAACCGAACTCAGACATATTCTTTCAGGCAAATATATAGGAGGTATTATCGACAGCAACAAAAGATATAGCACTTTTAGTTTATCTGTCTTCACTTACTTCAAGGCAAGACTGAATCACCCTCATGACGTTCTGGGACTAGAAAAGATTGGTGGATGTCACTCCTACGTGGCATTTATTATTCCCAACTACAACGGACAACATATGGGCCCTTGGAGCAGTGGTGGAACGTCTAAATAAATGAGCAATAACCGTATGGAATCTCAAATTTCTTTATTCTACGTCTGAGACGTGTCCTTATTGCCGTAGAAAGCTACCTTCGACACGTTCGACAGTGGATTTGTTTGCCGAGGTGCGATAGATCGACAGCTCGAAGATTTCCTAATCAGAAGTCTGGGAAGACAGATTAGGTAGCACGAACTTTACTAAGGCCAGAGGGCGGGCAAGCGAATTAGCGAACAGTTGCGTCAAATCATTTCACCAGGCTTTTCAACTTTTAAGGTTGGTAAACCCTCGCTGGATGTGTTCATGTGCTTGGGCTTTGCCCGCCTGCAGCCAATCAGCGCAGGACACAATGGCCTCAGCCTCCTGCTGCGCTGATACCAAGTCGCACACAGCTCGAGCATTCGATTGACAGGGGGCGTTGGGCGGACAGAATGAGTAGGTGGCTGCGCCGGCGACCATGGAAACAGGTTGTAGCACGTTAAGCGCGATTTTTAATCAAAAAACAGCAGAATTTATTGGTACCAGTAAATTTCGCGACGGCATCTCAACTGCAGCCTGTCGTTGCATAACACAAATAACAAGTGAGAAGGGTACAGAGGTTTGAACTTCGACAGAGAAAATCAATGTAAAACAGCAAGGTCATCGTACACTGCGCGTAGACTAATAAATAAAATGGTAACTTCAAAACGCAACATAGGAAAGAAAATGGGAAAGTAAACATGCCGAGGAATTTCGAAAATCAAAAGGGGGCTCAGGTCTACCAGGGCAAGCTGAGGTTGACCACGTGGTCTAACTGTTTACATAGGTTGGGTTTCTCCCGCCGTATGCAGGTTGCCTCCAGGTAGCGCAATAACCGAGTAGTTCGTGCTCGAACTAATACTGGAAAAGACGTTTTGGGGTCAACCGAATGGCCACTATCAAGGCGATGTTTTGCAACAAAAGACCGTAGAATCTTATTCTCCTGCTTTAGTAGCCATTTAGGCAGGTGCTCAACTGCCCTGGTTGCCAGTTACCTTTGCGTTCGCCCAACATACTTGCATCCACAAGGGCACGTAAATTCGTAAACACAAATTGACGTGGCGTGCAATGGCAAGGCATCCTTCGCCCGTGGAACTTCGATAGCCTTAGTAGTGCTGCAGAAGATGAGTTCAGCTGAGTTGTAAGTTCTTTTAATAGCTCATCTCAATCGCCGCTTTATGGTATTAGAGATGTTGTCGCCCTTAAAGGGTAAGGATATTAAAACGGGCTTTTTCGAAGCTGATTGCTCCGTCAATCTTGGCTATACTTTTCGATGAATCGTGTTGGATATCCCCGTTTAAGCAGGGCTGTTTTGAGGCGAGAAATTTCATCAGCCTCTGTACCTTGCTCACTTGTTATTCGTGTTATGCAACGACAGGCTGTAGTTGAGAAACCGTCGCGAAATTTACTAGTACCAATAAATTCTGCTGTCCATGCCTGTTTTAAATTCATTCCGGGGAAATATTGCCTTATAAAACAGCTAAATGGGACCACAGTACATATTGATGAGGAAAAGTAGAGAATTTGCACACTGCGACATGGTTGTTTCAGTCGAGAAAATTCCCCCACAAGTTGAAGTACTTCGAGCGTGAGCAATCTACTCAATGTTTGCGAGGGCAAACAGTTCAGAAGAGCTCACTGTCTTCTCTTCAGCAGGAATCTGCGGTTGAGGTTCAACGACAACATTTACAGAATTAATGGCAAACGGTTTTGGAATGAAGCAGGCATTGTACGACTCCATTTTGCCAGTAAGCTTCTCGAACACTTGTATCCATTTAAAAAAACTTCCTAAATTGCAAAGGTGGTGGTTAGAAGATTCACTGAAATTAAAAAAAGAGGCAGACTTTGAACAGATCGGCAAACTCAAGCAGTCATTTAAACGACTAGCGGGAATTATTAGCCTTATTTCTGCGTCGGTCTTGAAGTAGATCAGCTGGTACGGAAGGCGGGACTGACCGAAAACCTATCTGTCTCTCGAGTTCTTGGAGTGGCTAGATGCGATGGAAGCATCATGACAGTTCGACCATCGGTTTCGATGATGTCCACCGTGTGCCCCACAGTTGCAGCAGCAATGGGAGCAGGGACGGTGACTTACGCATGGGTTTATAGTGCCGGTAGACTTGCGTAGCATCTACCTACACTCTCTCCTCCTCCCCCGCCTGGACCCGGTGTCAAGACAGAGTCAAGAAGACCGGAGACGAGGGAGGCCGCAGGTGG